AAAGCAATTTTACAAACACAAAAGAAAAAAGAAGAAGAAAAAACAAAAAGAGACCATAAAACTAAATCAAATTATACATATCACATGAATTCTTTTCCGTGACATTTAAATCTTGAAGGATTAGCATATCTGGCTGAGAAAGACCTGTACAAATAATCTGGCTCGATCCTGTGGGGCCCGTCATCGAAATTCTGCAAATAACTCTGATGATCATAAGTCTTTGGAGTTCCCGAGCTTTTCTTCTTGGCCCTCGTGATTTTTTGCCAGAAAATCAACCATTTGGAGTTGGATGAATTATCATTACTAATATGATACTCCGTTTGCACGTACGTGTTTTGGCCTAAACGAACACTTTTACTGCGTGTGTTTTTCAATCTGGCGAAGGACATTGCCAATATGTTGAGATAAATGCAACAAGTGAAAGAGGTTGAAAAAATGCACTATGGATATGGCTATTTATAGAGAGAGATTTATGGTTGATTTTTGGATATTGTAAGTGACTTTTATATATGTGGATTATAAAGACATAGAGAGTATTATTTTAGACCAAGAGGCTTGTTATAATCTAAAGAGAAAAGTATACAACGTTTACGACATAATTGACTGAAAAAGTATCTTGAGTTGGTATTTCTCTTTCGGTCTAAATTAGCATGTTTTTTTTTTTTTCTCGAAACGATAGATAATATTATAAATTAAAATGCACAAATACAGCAGCCAACGTCTGAATACACAGCAGTCAGCAGCTGAAAAAGTGGGAGGACAGGTCAGAAAACCGCCTAGAAACCCGACTAACAACGCTAGAATAAAAACACTCGCAACTAAAACAACCGACTACACGACTACCAAACACAAACTAAAACTAAAACCAAAACAAACTAAAAAGACCCCAACAGGATAATGCCCGAGTGTGGGATCTCAATGGGATAATAAGGCCACACTTGGGTACACCGAGGCCAACGGCCCAAACCTAAAACACAAAAACAAACATAAGTACAGGAACATACACAAAACATCAATAAGAAAACATATACTACTAACGAATAAGGCCCTTCCCCAGCGAAATGCTAAAACCGACCCAAAGCACCAGCGAAAAAGACTAACATCCTACAGCTTGACCCAAAATCTGGAACGCCACTCCCGCCACTGCCTAATGCCTAGCAAGGAACAAGTCCCGAACCTCGAACCACTCCAAGAATAAAGTCGACCCGAAGCCAGAGGAATATCAACCCATCCTCCACACGCCAGCAACCAAAGACCCGGCCAACACCACTGGCCTAGGTTCGGGCGACCGGCATCCCAGAACCGCAACACTAGCGGAAAGGGGACCCGAGGGCAAGAATCGAAACCCCTCAACCCCCGGCGGCCGCAACTCAGACGAGCCAACCCGTCAGGGCCGCACCCAAAACCCCAACCACGCACCTCCTGCAGCAATCGGACCCAAACCGGAGGAGAAGCCGTCGAACCCGCCATCGACCACCATCCCAAGACAGAGCCGACAGAAGAAAGCTGGAAAATCACCGTCGGGGCCGAGAAACGTACCCAAATCGAAAGTGGAGCCGTGGAACCCGTCAACTGTAGCCGTACATAGACGGAATCGACAAAGGATTTCCGGGAATCCACCTGCGACGACGGCGATCTCCAGTAAAACAGCCTCGGCCGACGAAACAAAAACCGAGAAGGAAACGCACAAATCAGGCCGTGAGAGTGCTGCTACGGGTCATCCACCGGCAAGAGGCCGGCTGTTCGCCAGGGAAGGCAAGGAAAGCGACAGAGGCGAGAAGAACAATTTGGGGGAGAAGGGTTTTAGAGAGAGAAAAAATAGATTCGGGTTTTGTCTAAATTAGCATGTTCACTATTCTATTTTTCTTTTAGTCTTTAACGTGGAATATGTAGAATACGAGTTTTGGGTTGTTAAGTATCGTCCAGGATGTTTGTCGTCACTCTGCATAAATCAAAACGGACGTAATTGTCAGAAATTTAACGAGTATATTCATAACTATTAGACGAAATTGAATAAACCATAAAAATGTAATTCTATAAATTCTTAGAATATGGATCTTGCATAAATTAAATTGCACATAGAACTTACAAGAGTCCAGCTTATAGTCCTTCCCTGTTTTCTTGATCTATGATATTGATCTACGATCCATTTTCTCGTAATCTCCAATGATGGGTTCGTTTTTGCCAATTAATTTGTTTATGTCTCCCGCGTCTCTCGTCTTTCCATAAAGCTCTTGATGTTGAGGACTCTATTTTCGTATGAGTTGAGAGAGAGGGCCATGTAGTAATATAAATAGGAGGAGACCTACAATCCTAATCCTACTAACATTCCTCACGTTCTGACCTAACTTACTGTCCAAGTCAAATACCACAAATTGGACTCTTTAATATTAGAACATTAATAATCCATCAAATACATATTCACCTTAATTAAGTTTGACTATTAACCTTAATTAAGTTTGACTATTAATTCAATTAGGTCCAACTAATTATATGGTCCACAATAATACAATAATAATATAAAATATTATTACAGTAATAACTTTCGAACTCGAACTAGAAACTGCTACTATAATATATTTTCTCAATTGCTATTCACCGCCCCTTTTACTAATCACCGCTCCCCATTTACCTTTTTGCCCTTAACTCTCTTTNAATAATTATAATAACAATTATAAATTATAATAATAATTATATATTATAATAATAATTATTAAATATTATAATAATAATAAGTTGAATAAATTGTAATTAATTATAAATTCTAAAAATAATATTAATAATATTAATAATTATAAATTATAAATGCTTATAATAATAATATTATAAGAAATAATAATAATAATTTGTAATGATAATTATAATTAAATATAATAATAATTGTAAATTAGTATTAATTATAATAATTTAAATAAAAAATTATAATAACTATTATAAATCTCAACAAATATGATTATAATAATAATGAATAAAATTTATATATTAAAATAAAAGTGAATTATAATCTAATGTAATAGTTATTAGAATAATCATTACATATAGAAAAATTTAATGATTATATTTCTGATTCAGGGTGTTGGCAGACCTGGACAATCTAATGCCAGTGACGACGACGAGGCGTTCAATGACTATTATGATGGTTTTGGCACTCGAACACACTAGAAGCCAGGGTGTCAATGCGGACGAAAGAAGGAATCCAAACACGGACCACCAATCAAAACAAATCATCAGAGCATCAGCTCATCGACCTTTTGGGTGCAAACCTCGCTATGAAAAGCGTCTTTTCTTTTCTAGGATTAGGAAATAACTACGAATCAGTCTCGCTCCTGTAGCTGCTTCCCTTCGGTTGCACTACGAGCTCGGTATTTCACTTCTGTTTTCCATCCAAACCAGCTTGGATCTTGGAAAGCCCGTCTTTGTCTCAGTAGAGTCTTTCAGTGGCATGTTTCGGTCCTCTTCCCCATTACTTAGAAAAAGTGAGCCACCGGTTCAGGTACAAGATACTATCATTACTGCCTGGACAATTAGACATCCAACCCGTAATCGCAACGATCCAATTGCAAGGGCGGAGCTCTACCAACTGAGCTATATCCCCCCGAGCCAAGTGGAGCATGCATGAAGTAGTCAGATGCTTCTTCTATCCTTTTCCCTGGATCTTAACTTGATGTACTATACTCTCGAGCTGTAGAGCTTCCTGATAGGCTCTTTCTCTTCCTGTCTTCCTCGGCTGATGAATATGCTCTCCAGGCCGGAAATACTATCCTCTTCAAGAGCAGGATTCGAACCTACGCGTGTCAGCACCAAAAACAGATGCCCTAGCCTGACGCCTAAAGGGTTGTCCTTCTCCTGCCAGTATTTAGCGAAGTTCAGTCATATAAATTCGGAGAGAGGTAATTGAGAACACTGATGTGTGCTAAAGGACCTACGCAAGCCGATCTTCTTCACAATGGCAAGGTTGGACCGTGTATCCTGCTGAATTGGCTGCGGGATCGGAGGTCCCAGGAGGCCTAAATGCAATTGCAGCGGTTCAATACCAATCTGGAAATGAAGCCCCAAACCCATATGGTCAAAACTTCAGTTATCGACCCCTCGTGCATGATTCATCCTAACGAAGATCCGAAGCGGCTTATTTGTCAGTTTTTCTCCCTTATGATTTCCCGGATGATAAATATATGGATCTGGAAATATGTCCGCCCAAAGGGAAGTAGATCCCGGACCTTATGAGTCAAAATGATTATGTATATAATATGATTCTATACTGGGTAGTTACACGCATCCCCCTGCACGAGGTGCTTCGGCCACCGGGTCGGTTTTTCATTATCTCAATTGAAGTAACGAGCCCCCTGTATGGGGAGGCTCATTACTTCAACTAGTCCCCATGTTCCTCGAATGGATCTCTTAGTTGTTCAGAAGGTTGCCCAAAAGCGGTATATAAGGCGTACCCGGTAAAACTTACAAGTAAACCAGATATAAAGATGGCGACTAGGGTTGCTGTTTCCATTATGATTATATATCTAATTTCAAGACCCCGGCGGATCTATCATAAAATCGTTTATTTACAACGGAATGGTATACAAAGTCAACAGATCTCAATGAATAGAATAGGATTTATGGCTACACAAACTGTTGAGAACAGTTCGAAATCGGCCCCAAGGGAAGGACTGTAACAGAATTAAGGCAAAGAAGACAATAGCCTTGAACAACATGATTAGGATCAATGCTTACCGCCCTCACCTGCCCTGGAAAGCCTTCACTTCGCCAATACTTTTGACTTCACTTCGCTTCGCTTCGTTTGTAGAGTCTCACAAGCCCTCCTCTCCCTTTGGTCGAGTATCTTCAAACCTCCGTTAAGGATGTCAAATTGGATGCTTCCTGTATTGATTTACAGGCTGGAATTGAACCAGCATCCCCGGTGGCTTTCCCGGCGCACTGCATCTAACTCTCTTTCCCCAGCCTCTACTAAAGATTTTTTTGCGGCGGAGCTGGCTTGGCCACTAGCAAGAACAGCGACCGACTCTACTTAATCAACTGCTGCCATTTCCTTTTCTATCGGAGAAAAACTCCTAACTAAATAAATCGGAAATCCCGATATAAAGCCATTTAACAGCCATTGAGCAAGTCATGAAGGATATTCCGCATAGAATAAAAGATCAAATTCCCCCTGGCGAACTATTCATATTAGATTAACCGGCTGGATTCAGGAAGCTTCCTACAGGATGGACGTAGTTCAGGATCGTACTATCACGAACTTCGGCCCGAGCCAGCTTTGCGCCTTGACCTGGATGACATTCAATATCATGTACCCATGTTCCCCCCAGCTTCTGAGGCCTTTCAAGTGGAAAGATCTGAGCCTTTCTTAGTAGTAAGTGAGGCATACCGCCACTTGATCAGCTCCCCCTGCGCTGTTATAAGAAAGCTAGTACCCGCGTCTGACATCTGCTCTATTTCCCTCAACTTGGAGGGGAATTCTCAAGACAAGAGAATCGCTTCGGCAAGGAATCCGTTGGAGAATTGGAGGCAGAAAGAGCTAACTCATAGACAGACATCCACCGGAGTAGTGGCTGGGTTCAGCATAACAATCTCCCTCTCGGTAGTCCATACGAGTGATCTAGTAGAGGTGACCCATACCGGTTCCACACGAGGTAATCAGAAAAGGGAGTATCGGAGGATGTGTCGAGCCGTGGCCTAGCCCAAGCTGTCGATGATCACCTAGCGCTATGAATTAACGTACGCTACTACGAATGGTTCTCCTCATCCAGACTCGTACCCTCATTGCATGTTTTAAAATAGGGCATACTGCCTGTGATTGTAAATCACCACAAAATAGCGAATAGTATGAACTCTTCACTCCTTAAACTCTCGCCGCTAGCCGATCCCCCTTCGAACCAGGGTAGTAATAAACTCCTTAAACTCACTCCATCTATGGTTGATATCTTCCTATACTTTTTGTCTTGTCTCTTCGGTAGACCGAGTTGCTTTCTATCAACGACTAATTTCATAAAATAAGAGTACTATATATGAGCAATAAAAGCGGTTTTTCATGCTTTGTTGGCTCTTGCTTCAGCCACTGCTTGTAACCAGTTAGCAGGTTGTAAAGGTCCTCCACTTCCGCCTTTCGTGCTTGCCGGGCAGATAACATAAGACGCCGACAACCCAAGCTCGTGCCACCCCTGAAATGAGAGTCAATCTTGGAACCAAGAGCTCCTTCCCTCCTTTTGTGCTACAGACCCTTTTCCTTTCTTAACACTAATTGTAGTTTTTCTAATAGTTGCGTGTTCTTTAATTCATGCATCTTTCCGTTTTCCGTTGGGAGCAAAGGAGAGGGAAAGGCTTAGTACACGGAGATCCATGCCGTTACGTTATCAACGTCCCTACCTCTGAAAGTAGGGAACAGAGCAGCACCCTAGGGTGCCGTTCGTCGGGAGAGAGACATGGAAAGACAGACGATGATCGATGAGGCTCGGAGGGTACAGATTCGTCAGGCTAGGCAGAGTTCGAGACACCCGCACCAGTGCGAGATGGACTGCAGGGATATCATTTTGAGGGCCAACCAGATAGTTCGCGACTCCACAGAGTCCTCCCGTACGGTGAGCATGGATTTTATTATCCTGGCCAGACAGGCAGTTCGATGCCCCCGGCACCAGGACCGTACGATCAGTCGTGATATGCTTTTCCCCGCTACGCAGGGAAGTCAATACCTCCTCGCGCGCGCGTACCATTACCCTATGGTCAGCAGGGGTATGCTGATGAGTCGTACGGCGAGAGGGAGCAGGGTTCAGAGGAGTGTGACTCGGACGACTCCTCAGATTATCAGGACCACGCACAGCCTACGGGTCCTAGCCACCCTCGTCCTCATGTACAGCTTGTTCGTCCGGTACAGCCGGTTCTACAGCAGGTTCGTCCGGTACAGACTGTTCGTCCTACACAGGCTGCTCCTCAACGACAGGCTGGGGGGCGTTTTGGCCCATCTGCATCCTCATCAGGTAAATAATTTACGTATTTATTGTTGTTTAACATAAATTATTTTCACTTAATCATAACAAATTATCGGTACTATTAGAAAAGTATTATTTGCCTGCTCCTCAACTACGGTATAATTATTTTGTAATTTAGAGGAACCATACAATTAATTAGTTAGAAAATTATTATAATTATTTTTATTATTGTTATAATCAATTAGTAGTAATGTTACATAATAAATTAGTTTAAAATTTTTATTATATTTTATTAATGTAAATTGTAACGTTTGTACATTAATTGAAAAAAAAAAGAACGGGAAACTTATGAAATATGTTTTATTAAATATATTTTATTTAATACATCTGCCAGCAAGTCAATATATACAGATATGTTGTATTTTAATGCAGGTACTAGCAAACGAGCTAGGACCGATGTTGATGCACCATGGATCGTTAAAGGCCCAGTGTCAGGTGGGCCCATTGATGGGAGTGTCATCCCTAACTTTCTAGGGCACGTCGCCTCCCGCATGTGGAGTGGAGAATTGAGGGGGCCGCTGAAATGCCACAACAGACTGAGAGCGATCGAGAATCTGAAGGCTTGGCATGAAGAGATGTCTTCCGATGCGAGAGCTCTTCTCGACCAGACCGGGCTGTCACATTTGGCCGACTTCATGCACATCCACTTGGACACCCCACTCCTTTCTGCGTTTGTGGAGCGATGGCAGCCGGATACTAACTCGTTTCACCTGCCTTTTGGTGAAATGAGCATCATGTTGCACGACGTCCGGGCCATTTTGGGCGTTCTTGTGGAGGAAGCCATGGTCGCTGAGGACCTGGATTCGGACGCATTCCATGGGCTCTGCATGTCGATACTTTCGGTCACCAAGGGCAAACTCATGAGTTCGTTCTGGCAGCGTGGTTCGGTGTCCGAAGCCGCCATTTCGGGGGCATTCAGGGGGAAAGGCCGGCCGGCTAGGGATGAGGCGGGTGCCTGGATGTCGGTGATGCTGGCTACCACATTGTTCGTCGACAAGAGTGGTAGTAGAGTGACCCCAAGCTCCTGCACGAGGTGCTCGACGGCTTGGATTTGATTGGGGGTTACTCATGGGGATCGGCTACGCTGGCATACATGTACACACAGCTAGGTATTGCCAGCCGAGGGGACTCTGCCCAGATGTCGGGCTGCTTGACTCTTCTGCAGTCTTGGATATATGAGTATTTCCCCGATTTCTGACCCCGGGGGAGTCTACCCATCGGTCCTGACTGTCTCGCATGATCACGCTCGTGGAGCGTAGGGAATGCACCACGGTCAGACGATCGGCTCACAGCCATCCGTCCGCGCCTCGACAGACTCACTGCCTCCGATGTACGTGAAGTTATTTTATTTAAATTTAGTTACTCGTTATTTAAAATAATATAATTATTTTTATAAATGCTTTTATGCAAAATTGAACAGGTGCAATGGTTGTCATACGGCAACTCCAGCCCAGATGCGATAGAGCCGAGGACTCTTTATAGCGGATTGATTCGATACCGTTATGTCGTCGAGCCGTACTTGCCTGCGCAGTGTCTACGTCAGTTAGGGTATGTCCAGACTGTCCCTCCCCCTACATACCCGTCAATCAGTGCAGTACGTGCTTGGGAGTCTAGGAACTACAGGGTTGAGCATTCTGAGGCTGCTGCAGTAGGTGCCTGGACCCAGTTCCCGATTTCTGGTCAACACCGGTATGTTGACCCCCACCACACAGGATCGCGGGGAGGCGACTGAGGATTACCTGCAGTGTTACAGTCGGGTTTCCCATCCGACTCTCATGGGCGAGGAGCTGCCGGACGATAACGAGGTCCCTACGCGTGTTAATACTGCCTATGTAAGTTGGTTGCTAAATTTTAATTAATGTTATTTCATTACAATAAATTTTTTTTAATAAATTTTAGTCTTATCTTTTTATTGTTCCATTTGTTTAGTGGGTGAACCGTCTTTTGGGCATTACATCGATTTGGCAGCAGGGATGCGAATGTCCGGTAGCGACGGAAGTCCAAGAAGAACTGGCT